GATTTGATTGTCTGCCGCCAACAGTGTGACCTTGGATAAGTTGCCCCGCTTTTCCCCTGTGTACATGTGTGTGGTATTCATGCTTGCATATATACGTGTGCACATGTATATGCATGTCTACATGTTGATCTTGGGTGTCTTTCTCAACTGCTCTCTACCTTATATACTGAGTCAGGGTCTCTCACTGAACTAGAAGCTCACCATTTTGGATAGCCTGGCTAGTCAGTTTGCCCTGGGGATTCTCTGTCTCTATCTCCTCCTGTATTCTAGGATTATAGCTAGGCCACCATGCTCACCTGGCTTTTATGTGGGTCCCGGGAATCTGAACTCTGGTCTTTTTAGTTGTGGGCATGAGCTGTGGAGGCAGCCCTGCCTCTGCTTTTGGACTCTTGGTTTCCTCCTCTCTAACGGAAAGGAAGTGTCATTTGTATTCGAGGGTTATAATAGCGGTGGTGGGTGCAGGAAGCAGCACACAACAGGAGCCAGGCCTACTTTAGTTCTTAGAACACAAGAAGTGTTATTATATTATTCACTCAACAAACATAGCAAGGTCTTTTCTAAGCCAGGAACTGAGCAAGCAGCTGGAAGTAGAGGGATGAATGAGACATTGTTATGTCTCTTGCACAGTTTTGCAGTCCCATCAGGAAGCCAACTTGAAATTACAGTTACAATGTAGCTTTAACAAGGGCAATAATAAGACAATATACATCACAGAGCTGGTCCAGAAGAGGGAAACTGTTGCTCTCCTATATTCAGAATGTACAGGTATTGACTTGGGTCTTGAGGGAAACCATTGGCTTTTTTAGATAGCTGTGTGCATGTGGGAGTGTGTGTATGTGTGTGTGTGTGTGTGTGTGTGATGCGTAAGTGTGTGTTTGGGAAGAGTAGTTAGAATGTGGCTCTATTAGGGGAATGGGCGTGGCTTGAGACTGGTAGGCCAGGAGACTGAAAGGGGTGAGGTCAGACTGGAAGTGAGTTACCTGAGAAGACCAGACCTTCCCCGGTGAAGCTCAGCAAGGAGCCATATACCTGCAATAGATATACATGCAGTAGACATGCACCGCAGTAGATCACACCGCAGTAGGTACACACTGCAGTAGATAGATAAGATAGATATACATATATATACATGCACATATAGCTATACATGCTGTAGATACACACTGCAGTAGATAGGAAAATAGATATACATATATATACATGCAGTAGGTATATACTGCAGTAGATAGATAAGATAGATATACATGCTATAGATACACACTGCAGTAGATAGATAGGATAGATATACATATATACATGCATATATAAATACACGTGCAGTAGATATACACCGTAGTAGATAGATAGGATATACATATATATATATATACATACATATATAAATACACATGCAGCAGATACACACTGCAGTAGATAGGATATATATATATACATACATATATAAATACACATGCAGCAGATACACACTGCAGTAGAAAGGATATATATATATACATACATATATAAATACACATGCAGTAGATACACACTGCAGTAGATAGGATATATATATACATACATATATAAATATACATGCAGTAGATACACACTGCAGTAGATAGGATATATATATACATACATATATAAATACACATGCAGCAGATACACACTGCAGTAGATAGGATATATATATATATACATACATATATAAATACACATGCAGCAGATACACACTGCAGTAGATAGATATGCACTGTAACAGGCTTGAGATGTGGTTGAGACACTTAGGTGTGGTGTGGATATAAACTGTAGGGTGAAAAGACTCATTGAAAAGAGATTATCACAGAGGCCTAGTCAAGCTCCCAGCAGAACGGATAGGGCCTCACCTGGGCTGCACTGATGGGGCATGGTGGGTTTTGGAGGGTGGAGCCCATAGGTCCTGGCAACTGATCTGAAAAAGGGGAGGACTGCTTTCTGGGTGTCTGCCCAATAAAGACAGGAGAGGGCTTGGGGGAAAGGGTTCTGCAGCCGGCTCAGGCTGAGACCAAGACGCCTGTGAGAGAAAGAAAGGGCTGTGGTGGCCCTGATTGGCAAGTGGCTAATGGGGCAGCGGTGGTCCATGTGTGTCTCCTCAGTGAGAGGGGAGAATAAACTGCTGAGGACATGGCTTACAGCCAGGTGGACGAGCAGTGTGACTCTGGAGGGCTGGCAGGGGGCCTGGCCCTAGGTTAGATGGCATCTTGAGACACGCTTTAGAGATCCAGACTCGTAGGTCGGAAGGAGGGCCTTTGTCCTGAGGCGATTGAGGTGAGCTATGGGTGAGGAGAACAGGTGGCTGAGGGGCAGGAAGGTGGACCTGGAGGGGCCTGGGTGGCAGGTGAAGCAGCAGACGGCACAGGGCAGACGAACGACACGTCTTCTGTCTTCTAGGAACTTGCTGGCCTCATGTTTCTGAGCATACTTTAAAAAATTATTCATTTAAAAGATACTTATTTTATTTTATGTGTATGTGTGTGCCGAGGACAGGTATCTGTACCATGTGCTACAATGCCAGCAGAGGTCAGAGAAGGGCATCGGATCCCCTGGAACTGTAGTTATGTGGTTGTGAGCCCCCACCATGTGGATGCTGGGAACCAAACCTGAGCCTTCTTTAAGATCAGTAAGCACTCTTAACTTCTGTGCCGTCTCCCTAGCCTGTTAAAACAATTTAAATTATGGGCCTCTGTGTGTCTGTGTAAGTGTGTGCACGTGAGTGCAGTTGCCCAAAGAGGCCAGAGGTACCTGATCGCTTTGGAGCGGTAGTGGAGATACCCAGGTGGGTTCTGGAAACCCAATTAGGGTTCCCTGGAAGAGCAGGAAGCCCTCTTAATTGCTGAGTTACCATTCCAGCCTGGAAACATTTTTGTTTTGAAATATCTGCTATGTGGAATTATCTAGAAATCAAAATTATTCTTTTGTGCAGGTGTTGGTAGCTTGGGACTGGCCAGGGCCTTGGCATGCTAGGATCAAAGAGTTTTAGCACAGCTGTTCTCGGAGAGCCCAAGGGTTCTCTTTAACTGGACAGCTTCCTCATAGCTGTGATGAGACTCAGGAGCTTTAGGAAAACTGTGGTCTCTACAGCTTCAGGGTGTAACTGTCAGGCAAAAGCCTCTCTGGTGTGTGTGTTGCGAGCATATTTGTAACATGGAGGCTGGTGGGCGTGGGTGGATAAGGAACAAGATGGGTAGGTAGCCAGACAGCCGTGTTCACTGGGGGTGTGCGGGGCTGGTGGGCGAATGCATCAATAATAACATGTATTAGGTTGCTGTGCAGATGCTGGTGTTGGCTCCCAGTCTCTGCATGTACCACAGGGGTGGTATGACGTAGGATAAATAACGTACTTGTTTGCGGTGTAATGCCCTTCCCTGAGAACGCATGAACAAATCCCACAAAATGTGCTCATAGAAGGGAGGAGAGAGCACATACACACATGTGCGTTCATGTCTGTCTCGGGATCCTTTGTGTGCTTGTAGATTGGGCAGTGTCTCTCCTCTGCCTTTGGCTTCCTCTAGCAGCCTCTCAGTGAGTGACTGTGTGACAGATGTTTAAGGCTGGGAGCATCTTAGTCCTCCCAAGCCTGCCTGAGGAGCTGCGGCATAGCTGAGGGGACCGCTCCCCTTCACCTTCCCTCTTCACCCATTGGGTGTGTCCCAAGGTCAGGTCCAGATCAGACCCTAATAGGTGAGGCTTACGGCCCATGGGATGTGCATTGATCTAGGGGCTCTCAGTGTGGCTCTCTGAATTAGGTGAGCATCCATTTAGAGGCCCTTTGCTTTGTCCTTTAGAGGGCATTTTGACTCATTTGGGAGGTAGAAGCAGAAGGACCAAGACATTAGGGCCAGCCTTGGCTACATAATGACCTTGATAAACCAATCTGGTTTATCCAATATTTTGAAATAAACAAGCAAACAAACAAATAAGCAAACATTCTGGAGTTGAGGATGCAGCTCAGTTGGTAGAGTGCTTGTTTAGCGTGCATAAGACTTTGAATTTGACCCCCAGCAGTGCTTAAAAATGAACGTGGTCATGCATACCTATAATCCCAGACCTAAGGAGGCAGGAAGATGGTCCTGAGTTTGAGGCTAGTTGTGTTACACACTAAGTTCCAGGCCAGTTTGGACTATAGAATAAGACTGTGAAACACTCAGATATAAACAAATACAAAAGGCAAACAAAGAAAGAAGACATTTCCCCTGATCATAGAGGCAGAGTAAGGGTCAGAAGGGCTTGGGCAAGGATGCAGCCCACGCTGCCATCTGTAGTCGGGGTACAGAGAGACTGGGTGACTCAGATAGGCAGTTTGGGGCAGAATCATGTTTTCTTGGATCAGACCCAGGGCCTGGCCCGAGCCACGTTCTAACTGCGAGGATGCCTTTTGGGAGGGTAGGGAACCCGTAGGTGGTCAGGTGCTTGACGCTTTAGGCGTGAGCTAAGTCAGAGCTAAATGCGAGAGTGGGCCGTGTGGTGCTTATGTGTGTCAGTGTGTCACTGAGCGTAAGTGTGCCTCGGCAGCCCAGTAAGACAGTCTCTGGTGTGGTGAGCACGTCCCCATCTGTCTCTGAACTGCCAAGGGATGAATGCAAGGGAGGAGCCTGTCGCAGGGAATCGGGAAGCCTGGCTGCTTGCTGCTTTGCTTACTACCCTGCTTCCTGTCTCTGTGTGATCTGGGGCCATCGTGCCCCTGCTCTGGGCCTTAGTTTCCTGGTCTAGCAGGATCTAGTGCCAAAGGCAGAAAGCCCTCTCAGTTTTTCCAGACCGATTGACTTTGAGGGGACTCATTCAGGAGGCAGTGTGGTCATTGCTCAGTCCCCAGCAAAGCTGCTCCCTGAGCTACTGAGGTTGGGTTATTCATGTCAGGGCCTTGGTGGGCTTGGGGACCTGGAACCCCTTGGTCCTTAAAGCAACTGTCCATGGCATATTTGCTAACAAGCTTCTTTTCTCTTCTTTCCCTGCTCCCCTTCTCTGAACTTGGCTGACTATAGAGGAACACCCTATGGAAGGTGAGTGGAGCCTCCTTGATCGTTAGGTTAATGCCCATCTCCCCAAAGGGTCTATATGAAGGCGTGCTGTTGGCCACGCCACAGCCCCTGCCTGCTTGTGTTTGAGGGGACCTCGGGGAGGCTGTCTGGGGGTTTCTTCACTGGACTGCCTCTTCTTAGGCTGCTTTGTTCATTGACAGGGAAGCTCCTGGGTAGAAGGCAGATCTCCTTGCCCACGCTGCTCTGTGCTGTTCTATGCTGCTCCCAGCTTTCTTCCTTGTGGGGAAGGGGAGAGGGCCTCTGGGAAGAGGTTATGAGCCAGCTGGTAGTGTCAGAAGTGTCCAGAAGTGAGAAGGTAGACACTGTTTTGCCCAAAGCATTTAATGGATGAGCCAGGCGTGGTGGCGCATACCTTTAATCCCAGCACTTGGGAGGCAGAGGCAGGCGGATCTCCGTAAGTTCAAGGGTAGCCTGGTCTACATAGTGAGTTCTAGGGCAGCCAGGGCTACACAGAGAAAACTAAGAAAAGAACCAACCAAGCATATAATGGCTATGTATAGAAGGGAGTAGCTAGTGGCAGGGTTGGCTATTGGCCTGGAGCCTGTGCTGGAGAGAATTCGTGCTTCTGCTGCAGGACTCAGGCCAGCGGGAATGTGGTGGAGAGCTCAGGCAGGGTAGGGTCTGTCCATGGCTGGGGTGTGTGGGCAGGGCCAGCTCCCCTGCTCTACTAAAGCTGCCTGTGGCTGGGAGGAAGAGGGAAGCTTCTTTGTTCAACCCAGTCCCAGGGCAAGGGTGGGAGTGGGCTTCTCTTGGAACTCTGCATTCTCTCCCTGCCTTCTGTTCTGATTGCCTCTCTCTCTGGTTTTTCTCTTTGTCTCGTTTTCTCCAAGGGTCTGTCTGTGGACCTCTCTCTGTCCCTGGCCTTCTCCAGATTCTCTGGGTTCTAGCATTCTTGGAAACTTTCCCTCTAGCTTTGCTTTTCCTTCTATTTCCTTTCCTTCTCTGGGGTGGATAAGATTGGGGGTAGGGAGGTCCACACTTAGAGGCTGGACTGTAGCTGATCTTACAGGTCATCGCAGTGAAACTGGCAAAGGGATTATGATGAAGGAAGGCCTTACCCTGATCACCACCTTGCTCCACAGTCCCCGTGTTCTGGGAAGACAGTGGGTAGGAGACACTCTGAAACCCCTGGGCTGGCCCTTCTGGGAGGAGCTCAGAGACACTAAGGATATGGGGGTCTGAGAAGGGCAGGCAAGGAGGGCTCTAGGTCTGGAAGTGGGTGGAACCCATTTTCCTTGTGGTGTCCATGGCTTGCCTTGTCGCTCTGTTTTGTTTTTGTTTTTTTCTATTTGGGGCTCCTCAGGTGCCCTGGTCCGAGTAGACCAGCCTCTGTGTCTGTATCTGTCCGTGTATGCACACATTCATGTGTCTTGGCTGTCTGTGTGGGGATGCTGGGCGTTGGCTTGTTGTTTTGTTCACAGAGTGGCATGTGTCCCTGAGTCTCTGGAGGAGCATCTGGGGCTTTGTGCGTCTACATCTATGTTTGCATCTCTGTGTGCCACTGTTTACCTCTGTTGTGTGTCAAGGAGGAGGCGCCTGCACCTCTGAGTGGACGCAGCCTTCTGAGGCCTGGAGATAAGATTTAGTGTAGGTCTGACTTTCACTTGCTCTTGATGTCATGTCTCCTCTGGAACAAAAGGAGAGATGGAGGGAAGAAGAGGGGAGAAAGGGGATAGAAGACGCTTGAGAGGAGGAGGAGGAAGCATAGAGACAGGGAGAGGAGAAGAGGTGGGATTTAAAAACAGCAACAACAACAAACAGCTGTGGGGAGAGAGAACCCAGTGAGAGGAGCAGAGAGGGCAGGCCCAGGCTGAGAGAAGAGCAGGAGGCTGCAGAGAAGTGGCTTGGAGCAGGGAGAGGGAAGGGACGATGAGGACAAGAAGAGAAGCTTGGTTTGGGGTACATGGCAGTGAGATCTGTGGTGAGGTGTCCTGGTCACCTGCTGGTTTAGATGTGGGCCGGAATGTCCAGTACAGGGCATATATGGAATGTTGTGTGTGTACATAGGCAAGAATGTGATTTCTTTGTGTGTCCCTCTGCATGTCTGTCTGTCTGTGTCTCTTAATCTTGCTGTCTTTTTCTTTTTCATGACTGTTGTCCTGGGGTCTGGGTACAAGACTGCAGGTGAGGACGGGGGTTGGAGGTAGGGGCTTCCTCCCTAGCTGTGAGGGCCCTCTTCAGATCTCTTAGGGGTCCTCTGTGCCTCCCCTTCTCCCTCTGTCCGTGATGCTGGGATGATGGGCCCGAGGCCTGGATTCCTCTAGGAACCAGGCACCCTGTTCTGTAGCACCCTAAGTACTGTCTCTTTCTTCCTAATCTCTTACCAACGGGAGAGGAGACCCTGCCTAGCCAAATTGAGTACCCTAGGAAGAACCTTTGGCAGTGCCATCCATCACAGCCAGCTTGTGGGAGGAGTGGGAAGAGGAGCAGATGCCACAGGTAGACATGAGAGAGAGAGAGATAGAGAGCACCCCAGGGGTACTGCGGCCAGGACAAGGGGTGGGAGAGGAGGCAGTCTGTAGGGAGGGATCTCTTGGTCATCCAGTCATCCAGAGCTGAGCCAGGGGTAGACAGGAAGGGAATGGGTCTCCCCTCACCAAGATGGCTGGTGCTGTCACGCCTGAGGGAGCTGAGCAGCTGGTTGCCTTGGTGACAGAGGGAGAGTGCCGCATGCTAATGAGGCTGGCAGAGAGCTGGGCAGCAGAAGGGTCCTGAGGGTAGATGTGTGACTTCGCCCAGCAGCAGTCAGGCCTAAGGGGTTGTAGGTGGTAGTGGGGCAGAGGGAAGGAAGTATAGCCACTGGGCCTTTGACTCTGGACCGAGGGCTGCAGTGGGCTCTCTGGGCAAGGCTGCTGCTGACAGGCAAGTGGGAGAAGGGGTTCAGAGCCTGGGGCCTGAGCCTGGAATTTTGTCAAGGAAGAATGAGTAGCTGTGTAGCGGCTATCTGGAGCAAGGGCAGCCTAAATGCTGGAGCCCCACCAGTGTTTTGAATAAATCCTGTGTCCTCCTGAGACTGTTTTGTCCTGATGCTCCCCCAGTTGCTGTGGCTTCCTCCCTCAAGCTAGCCTCAGACCTAGAGGTGAAATAAACGAATGAGACTCTGAGATGGAGAGGGAGGCTCTGAGCTCCCCAGGTTCCCCTCTCCAGCCTCCGTAGCCTCCCTACTGCTCTCTGGGCACGGGGTATCTCTGCTCCAGAGATGTTTGTGGCTCCTTAGTCTCCATGAATTTATAATGGCTACAGTTTCCATCCTAAGGGCCAGCATCTCCTGCCACAGGAACTGAGATGGTTTTCTTGACAGCAGAGATGCTCCCCCACTACCCTGGTGACCAGACCCCACAGCAGGAAGGTAGGGTTGTGATTGGGGAGCTGGGATTTGGTAGGGTTAGTTGGTCATCTTAGGGAGTTCGCAGGAATCAGTTTGTGGCTGGTCTGTTGGTGTCAATCTTTCTGGGTCTGCGGTCCTAGTCTGGCTCAGGCTGGACTGACTCAGGCTAAGGAGGATAAGTTATCTCAGAGTAGGGTTTTCAGGGCTTGCCCACTGGCCTAAATTGTCCTCATTCTGTTTTTGGATCAGCTCAGCAAGGGCCTGGCCAGGGCAAGGGGACTTGTACAATCTTTTAGGCTTGGGTGTTTGGGCTTCAGAGAGCTTGACCTTCTGCCCAGGGGTCTTGGCTGTTCCTTTTGGACTTTGTTGTCTGAAGGCACACCATTCCCAGATTCCCAGATTGTGAAAGAGTACCTCCACCGTATTTCATCCTAGAGTTTCCATGGACTCATTTTCCTTCCTCCAGCTTCCTTGGTTCCCCAGAGCCCTGGTTTTCTCCTGGACCCTGCTATCTGTACATGAGGCTGGGCTGGGCAGCTGGAAGGATGGAGAGGATGCCTTTCTAAGTCAGTGTGGAGGTTTCCTTTAAGGCCTATCCACATTCCTAACACTTTGTGCTTTCCCCTAAGGTCACGGGGACCCAAGGATGAGGGTGGGGTGGTTGGAGAGCCCTCGCCCACTCAATCCCTCTCTTAACAGGACACGCTCTTTTTCTCCAGGTGACTTTGAGTTTTGTGTTGTGTTTTATTTTCTCCTCCATCTGAATCGTTTTTTTCTCGTTGACCGTTTTTTTTTCTTTCCACCTCCTGGAAGAAAAAAAAAAAAGAAAAAAGAAAAAAAGAAAAAGGAAAAAGCAGCCCTCCCAGCGCCATGCTTCCCCTCCTTTTCCTTTTCTTTTTTTTTCCCCGGCAAAAAGAAAAAAAAAAGAAACCAAAAATTTCTCTCCTTCCCTGTAGCAACTCCCTGCCTTGTCTCCTCTGGCTCACACCCCTCCCCCTCTGATACCCTGATCTCTCTTTCTCCCTTTTCCCTTCCCTCTCCCTTTGTTTCTGCATCGGGCCCCTTCCCTCAGCTGCTGGGCTGGGGGCTCTCCCCCGATGTCTGTCACAAGTTAAAAAGGGTTTTTAAATTGTGGCAGCAACAACTTTCCCTCCCTTCTCTCTGGCTGATTTTGATGACTCGTGTTTTCTTTGTTTCTTTCCTCTTTTCTTTCTTTCTTTTCTTCTTTTCTTTCTCTCTTTCTTTCCTTCCCCTTTCCAAGGTCCGGCTCACCTGACGTTAAACAGCGAAGGTATGGTTTGAAGTTTTGGTTTGGTTTGGATTGGACTGGATTGCCCCAAACTGTGCCTGGCTTTTCTGTTCCCTTCCCTTCCCTCCTCCTTCACCCTTCCTGCCTTCCTCCTTCCCTTCCTCCCCTCTTCCTCTGCCATTTCTTTATTTGTATGGGGGTGCCTGGCGGGGGTGGGGCTGGTCCTCTCCCTCCCCTCCTCCCCTTCCCCTGGGTCCACTGTCCACCCTCATCTCACCTTGGTTTCTGATGTCGAGATGTATACTTTCCTGCCGTTGTCTCCAGTCTCTTTTTAGTTTTTCCTTTCCATTTTTCCTGGTGGTATATCTTGCTTTTTTCTTTCTCATGGTGGTATTTGATTTTTTTCCCCATTCATTCTGATCGCTCTTCTCTTTTCTATGAATGCAAGTAAAAAAAAAAAAAAGGCCTGGGTTGCAGAAACTATTTGAGGCAGCCACAGTCTCCTTCCCTTGCTGCTGTGGAAGACACTCCATTTAATCCCTGTCCCTAGAATGGGTTGAAAATAGAAGACATGGGGGCTGGAGGTGCAGGACTTTCCCTTTCCACAACGCCCCACCCTCTGCCTTTACCTCTGTTATCTTTTGAATATCTCTTATTTCTATCGGCTAGATGACAGTATATCAGAGACAAGAGATCGGCTGTCGTAATTATATAGTCCTACTCGTGGCTTGATAGCCCTACTAGGTGGCATGGCTGAGACTTGTCGTTTAGCTTGAGCCTACTCTTGGCTAAGTCCCTCCCACCAGTCCAAACCCCAGTGTTGGAGTTCTGTAGTAGATTGTTGCTGTCTCAGCATCCACAAGGCCCTGGGATCCAGTCTCAGCACTGCAGGGGTAGAGAAACCCTGGCATTAAGCAACCTAGAACAGAACCTAGGAGTTTTGACTGTTCCCCTTCAGCTCTGGCCTCCCTGCGCTCCCAGTTATCCACCTCTATGAGCACCTCGGGCACCGCAGTACCTATACATGAGACAGGGTTGACCCTTTAACTATGAGCAAAGGGATGGTGGGACCACATCCAGGATGTAAGAGAGTCTCACTGAGATCTGAAATTTGGGATGGATTTAGGTATGAGAAATAAGGGCCTGAGATTTATGCAGGCATGGGAAGTTGTGGCCAGAAGTAAGAAAGAGGAAGTCCCACACAGGGAATTAGAAGGAGGGTTCTGGCTGAATCACGTCCTTCTTACTTCTAAATTCCTGGTTTGGGGAGTGCTGGCTGTAACTCACCTTAGACACTGATGATGTTTTCTAGAAGGGTCCTAGAGATGCTTCCCCTCATCTAGAAGGTTCTGCAGCTCAGATGATTTGTCTCATTTTAGTTCTGGAGATTGGGGACTGGACTTGGAGGAAGAACCCAGAAAGAAACCTTCCCATCTATCCCTGAATTCTCCTCATCCTATGGTTCTAGCAATAGGGTTGGTTGCCTGGGAACCAGGCACGAGAGAGTACCTGTTCACTGGCAAGCATGGGTGAAGCTAAGCTAGTCTGGAGTCCAGACATGGCAACCTGTGCCCGTGGAGCAGAACTGAGCCCTGTGTGGTGAGGAACAGGGTAATAAGGCTGAGCACTGATTTCTAAGTAAGAGCGTCCTGCATCCCTAAGGAGCCCTACCTACCCAGGAGCTCCTTGTGAGCACAGCCCTTCTGTGAACGTGGTGGAGGGCAAACCTGGGAAGCCCCGTAGTCCAAGTGGAGACTGTCAGAGCAGCCACTGTGGGGACCGAAGCAGGTACAGGTGATCGGGGGGCTTGGGGACCTGAATTGGGTGGCTTCTGGAACACAGGTGTCCATGTCAGGCAAAAGCAGGTTGATAAGAATATTCTCTAACCCAGCAGAAGATTCACACCTTCTGCCCAGTGAGAGAGGAACATGAGCCCTAAGGATGTCACAGTGGTCCCACAGGGTGAAGAGGAAGTTTGGGTACAGGTGCTCAGGACCCTGGTGCTCAGGACCCTGGTCCCCAGGACTGCCCTTTCTCTCCACTTAGTCTCCTCACCCTGGCCAAAGCCTAGAAATCGATGGTCAGAGGCCTGATAGGGTATGTGGGGCTGGTGACCTTTGGAATGTCAAATGGCCCCTCAAGAGATCTTGAAGGCCAGGGAGTCCCCAGAGAAACTCTCCTCACCTGCCTTCAAGCAGACCTTTGTCCTGGAGAGAGCCTTCCATCACCTCAAGACTGGGATGGGACTGGCTGCGAAGTCCCTATGCCTGACTCCCCAATTCTGCTTCTCCAGTAGGGTCCTTACTGTTCTCCGAGGGGGGGGCCGGGAGAGGAGGAGCCGGCGATGTGCACCAGCCGACGAAAGGTCAGTGATCCTATGGTCCCCAGACAGTCCGGTCCTTGCCCTGCTCTAGGCTAACTGCGTTCTGGGAGGAGAGGAGTCTTCACAAGTGTATGGCACCTCCCTGTGCCTTTTCTCCAGGCTGGCAGCGGTCCTGCACCCTACTGCCATTCCCAGGGCACCGTTCCACAGTACCCAGATGCCCTTTTCCATGAGTGGTCAGGCCCATCTCTAGAAAGTGTTGCTATTTCAGGGTGACAGGTGGCAGGGTACCATCATAGTCTAGAAGCCTGCTAGGTGCCTGGGGGAAACTGGCAACATCTGTGATCCTCGTGTCACCTATATGGTCCCAGTAAGCCTTGGTGAAATTTAGTGGCGGGCATCATTGCTTTATTGTATAGCTGGGGAAACAGGCACCAGTGAAAGCCCCAGACGCCAGCATGGGCCGGCCGCTTAGTGTCTTAGAGCACGGGATCCCAGCCTACTTTTTTGGCCAGAGGCTGCTTCTTTCAGGACCCTTTGCTGAGAAATGTGCAGGCCGCTCTGACAACTCTCAAAGCTCTGGCTCAGGCCAGAACCTCCCGCCGTCACCTCCATCCTCCAACTAGTGCCCTCCTGGGCTTGTACCATCCCGACCTTGCTCCCAGTTCTTGGAAAAAGCAGCCATGCTCTCCTTGTTGGCAATCTCCCTGAACTTCTGGGCCAGCCTGGACACTTCTACACCTCCTTGGATTCAGTCGTACCACATCCTAGCTGTCACTCTGTCTGTTTGCTGGCCTTGTGGTTCTGAACTGCAGAACTCGAGGACAGGATTTTCCATTGTCTCTTCCCACGCTCTGCGCAGCTCTCGGCATCTATGTAGGCATGAGCTCAGCACATTAATTTAATTTAGTTAATTTTGATAAGGTCTCACTTTAGTTTTGGCTGACCTGGAACTCACTATGTAGACCAGGTTGGTCTTGAACTCACAGAAACACATCAGCTTCTGCCTTCTGAGTGCTGGGATTAAAGGTGTGCACACCTGACTCACAATTACTTTAAATGAGCGAATGGTCACTGTTTCCAGGGGTCTCTGATGGCCTAACAAATAACTCCAGTAAACCATGGTCCATGAAGGTGGCTGGAAACCGCAGACCTTGTTCAGAGGAGTTAATTTACTTATTCACCCATGGAGGGGTGAGCATATGCACCTTCACAAAGTCATATCCGGGGCAGAGTCTTTTGGGGCTGAATTGTGTCCTAACCTGTCCCTCGTCATTCCTGAGGCAACCTGGGAGGTAGACTGACTTGGCCAAGGTCACAGAGCCGGTTGGCAGAGCCAGCGCCAGTGCCCAGGTCTGCTTTCTCACAGCCCATTTCCTCCCCAAGGAGCTGTACAAGGTGTTACTAGGCAGTAAGTGCCAAATGAGCAGAACACACAGCCGTGGTTCCCCAGAGCCAGAAGGGGTCAGAGGGGGCGGGAGATCGTCCCAGAGGACTTAGAGCTGGGTCTGCAAAGGGGGCAGCTGTGTTCCTCCCTTTCATGGCGCTTGGAAACCCAGGCAGTTTCGGCCACATTCAGCTTTGTTGAAACATTTGTGAGGCCGGAGACTCCCTGATGGAGAAGCAAACAAGTGTTAGCAAAGACTCCCTTTCCACACTAGGAGCCCTTAAGGGTTGTAATTTCTCACGTACTGATGGGAGTTGTAGTTCTTGGCTGTGGCTTGCATGGCTGGTGGAGCAAAGCGCCCCCTGGCGCTACAGGATCTGAGCGTCCCGGGTTCAGCTAGTGCACAGGCGCTCTAGGGCTACACTATACATTCTGGTCCCTGAAGTGCCGCCCCCATCAGGGCCCTTGAGGGCTATCCCCTGCTCCATCAAGGTTCTCTCTGTGTCCCTCACTCTCTTGCTCTCTCTTCTTCAGTTTTCTTGCTGCGATTGCCCACCTACCTCTCACCCCTCGCCTTAAAAGCCTTCAGGCTCCCTTGGACAGCCCAATGTCTTTCCATCTCTGGGCAGAGAAGCCTGGGGTCTAGTCAGCTCAGCCTAGCAGCATAGATGGCTTTGTCTCCTCCCCTGGGTCCACCTGAGGAGTCCAGGAATGGCCTCATTTCTGCTCTTGGCCTTGGCAGCTGTGGTCCAGCCTCAGCCCTGCCTCTCTCCTTTTTTTTCTGACTTCTTTTGTTTGGTCCCAATCACTTTTTCAGGTGGCTGCCTTCTATTCCCTCCCTGCAGCCTGGATCTCTGCAATGTTATTTGCTTTGACCGCAGTGAAGGTGAAGGAGTGGGAGGAGAGGTCTGACTTCTGGGTGGGGCTAACAGTCTGGGTGGTAAAACCAAGGTCAAACGCATTCCCTTTTCTGGTCCTTGAGCCCCCTGGCTCTGTCAGTGTCTGAGCAGCAGGCCTGGTTGCTATGGAAACAATAAAGCCCCAGAAAGCTGTGGCTTTAGTTCCCTAGAGGTCCCTGTCCCCTTTCCATGCTGGCTGGCCCTCCTCCTTACCTGTCCCCTCAGGGCTCCCTCCTGTTCTTTATTGATAAGGTTCCCTGTGACCTCTCTTTCCCTCACAGCCCTGTCTCCATTTCTCTTCTGACCCACTGCCGGTCCATCTTCGTCCCCTTCCATGCTGGGCTCCCCACATCACCATTAAACACATCTTTGTCTTTCCTGGCTGCTTCACCTTTGTTTCTGGTCCCCTAAATAGACAGAGGGAGGGATTCAGATTGTCCCTATGTGGCCCATGCCCTACCCCCCTCAGCTTGCTGTCCTGTGGCCTCAGGACGCAAGACCTTGCCAGCTGCAGTGAGGGCTCTGCCAGGCACTGGGGCAGCAGCTGGTGCCTTGGCATCCGGATGCAGTGGGGGCCGAGTGTGGGCAGCCTGCCTGGAGGGAGAGAGGCAGGCTGTGTGTGCTGGAGTTCTGTAGAATCTGCAATGAGAGACCCTCACTTTCCTACACGGAACTGCGGCTCAGCCCTGCCCCTAGGGGAAGGTGGGTGCCTTGTCGTGGCCTTCCGTGCCCATCACGTCGTTCCTACTCTTCCCTGGGCCTTGAGAGCATCTCAGGAAAAGCTCAGATAGTTCAGCCTCTGCCTAAAGACCCTCATGATACGGTCCTGTTTGCCTCTTATCCACCCAGGGAGGAAGCAGGATTAGTATTTGCTGACAAAGAGACAGAAGTCGCTGCCTGAGTGCAGGGCTTCTTGTCTCTCTTGATTTGGAATCGGGTTCTCTGCCCCGTGCTTGTGCTCTGGTGTGTGAAGTTGAGGGGCTGGACCCCAACTCTCTGCTTCCAGTCATGGTACTTTTGCTTGTCACCCACTTGCAGACCGCCAACAATCCCCATGGCTCTTCCAGGAGTCATGGCTTCCCCCCAAAGAGGGGCAGGGGAAAGGACCTTGGGCTGGGTGCTGTGTCCATGTACACACACACACACACACACACACACACACACACACACACACACTAGGTTGGTGTTATACGCATACACAAAGACTGGGTGCTGTGTCTATATGTACAGATACATAAACACACACATGCACACAGGTAATGCACATCCGGGAGCATACACACACGAGAGCCAGGCCCTCCCATGCCACTCCCTTGACATCTATGGGTCACACACCTGGTACTGTGAGGTTTCTTAGGTTGGAGGATGAAGCTGGGAGAGGAGGGAGGGCTGGCATGGTGAACACCCACCGGAATGCCGCAGAATGGCCTGTCACCTGGTGGATAGCCCTGTCACTTGCATTGCCTTCCCATGTGTCGTGTCCCTGTCCCTCTCTACTCCATGGCTTCCCGCTCTTCTCATCTGTGCAGGGCTAGGCAGACCTACTGGTCCCATCACTTAGGGACAGTCCTGAAATTGCCCCTGTCCCTGGGTACTGAGAATAGCTGTTACCAAAGAAGAGGCAAGTGGAGAGGTGGGCTGCTCAGGAGGCACTCCCAGGGAGACGGCAGGCGGTCGGTCCCTTGCGTCTCCCCCACGTGCCTTTGTTCCGGGGTGGCAGGGGTGGAGAGCATTGCTAGAGTGGAGACGGTGAGGCCTGTAGCTTTGTCTGGCCCTGTGGCAGCTTAATTGTCAGCTGTCAGTGTGAGAGCCACTTAGCAGCCTCCTGCTTTGGAAATGGACCTGGGGGGAGCTGACTTTTGGTAGCAAAAACAGCAGGGTCCGGGTTGATGGGATGTAGGAGGGGAAGAGGGCCTAAGTTTGGAGTTGGGACCACAGGACTCCAGTGTCCAGGACCCGTGCTTGGGTTACTGGAGGTGAAGGGGGAGCCTCTGGTGTACCCCACACACTCAGCCTTCTCCCGTTTTCCCAAACCATGGTGTCCAGGCAAGGAGGAATTTGTGGCAACCTTCAAGGGCAATGAGTTCTTCTGCTACGACCTGTCACACAACCCGATCCAGAGCAGCACTGACGAGATCACACTGGCCTTCCGCACCCTGCAGCGCAACGGGCTGATGCTGCACACGGGCAAGTCGGCCGACTACGTCAACCTGTCCCTCAAGTCCGGGGCTGTCTGGCTGGTCATCAACTTAGGCTCGGGTGCCTTCGAGGCCCTTGTGGAACCCGTCAATGGCAAGTTCAACGACAACGCCTGGCACGACGTCCGGGTTACCCGAAACCTGCGCCAGGTAGGGGGAGCAAGAAGAAGGTCAGGGGTCAGCCGTATTTGGGGCAGGACATACATAGAGGACACAGTGATGCCTTGGGTTGGGATGGGAGAAAGCAGGGCTGGGCAGTGAGGTGCGGTTTGGAGAACAGAGTTTGGGGCTGTGTGAACCTGAGGTGTGGCCTCAGCTGTGTGCTAGGCTTCAGAGACCTCATCAGCTAGGGAGCTGAACTAGAAGGAGGCTCTAGAGCTGTTCCCGGGCAGAAGCCTGAGGCCAGGAGCAGGGCTGGGCTCAGATTGGTAGGAGCAGCTAGGGTTTCAAGGTGTGTTGCTCAGGGATCGGGTGATGGGCAGGAGGGTGCTACGGACTTGGGAGGAGGAAACTGGAGCCTGGATGAGGGCCTAGTGTGTTGTGGGGTGGGAAAGGGGTTCTGTAGGGTGGGCAGCAGGACACTGAGGAAAAACAGAGATACAGAATATGGTCTCCCCTGCAGGGGCCTTTCCCAGGACAGGGATAGCTGAGAAGGAGGCAGCAAGTGGCTGAGAGTCAGAATCAGGGAGGGCGCCTGGTCCTGCTGCTCGCGGGGTATTTGCTTTTCTTCCTGTGTGACAAAGCCAGGCTTTCCATCATGCCCGTGTTCACCTTCTGCTGGCCGCGCCAGCCTGTAGAGGGGCTCAGGGAGGTTTTGGGGGTCAGCCCCTGCATGTAGGATGACCCCCTTCTCTGCATCGTTCCCTGTATTTCAAATGCTGCATATGTCCTCTTAGGAGTGGCCACCCTCTTCACCACTCTCAGGCATCCACAGTGGCTTCTGATGATAAGGTGTCTCTCTGGCCAGACTGTGCTAGACAGGAGCCTTGTGGGCAGTTTCCAGCCCTAGGAAGTCCCTGTGTCCAACCACACTGACCTCTCTTCACTACTAGGTGAGGCTCCTGAACGTTCCCTGGGGACTCCTGTCTCTACTTCCCCACAATGGCTTCTCTACTGACTTACTCTGGGGACCCCAGTTCTTCATTCTCTTGGGTCCCCAGCCTTGTAGCTAGCGGGCAGCAAGCTGTTGAAGCTTCATCCTTCCATGGCTAAATGCAACCAAGAACACCAAGCAACCCTGGCTGTGGAGGCTGCATCTCAGGGTTTCATGGCTGCTCTCTTGCTAGTGAATTCTTTGGACTTCCTGTTTCTGGTGGTGGTCAACCCTCTGTTGTTGTTCATCTCCTCTGCTCCTTTCTTCCACTGGAAGCCTCTCAATGGTGCTCAAGATTCCTGCTGACCATCTATCCCTCGTACCTGCTCCTCATTTGACATCACTAGGGGATAATCTGATGGAGAGTCCCTCCCCTAACACCTCTCCCTGTGCCTTGACAATGTCCTGACTAATTGTACTGCTCTTTCTGGAAGCTTGCAGCCGCCTGTTCCCGTCGTCTGTGAATGTGCCTTTTCTCAGTGCCCCTCTCTCTGTGCTCTGTAGAGTGACACGTTTGTGGAGCGACCTCTCCATGCACACTCCCACCCTGTGTCCTGTCAGAGCACCGCCTGGCGTGTTATCCCCCGCTCCCCCCCCCAGCAATCGGGTGTGTGCAGTGCCTCTGTGATGCTTTCCGGTGTAGCACACCTTTTGTGGGGAAATCTGCCTTAAGGGGGAAGCCGCCTTAGGTGCCTTTTGCTCCCTTCCTTGCTGTCCCTAGGACTAGAGCTGTCGCTGCTGCTATCTTCTGCGAGTCACTGCAAGCCCACAAATCTTCACCTGCCATTTGGCCAAAAAAGCATGGTGAGCCATACCGGATACAGAGTGGAGAAGGATGTGCACCCTGCCCTTGCAGCTCCTGGGACAGGATGGAATTGTTCCAAACAAACAGAGCAGGGGCTGGGGAGAGGGCTCAGTGGGAAAAAAAAATACTAGTCACACAAGTGTGAGGACCAGAGTTCAGTCTTGGAAAAGCTGGGCAATCACGGTGGACACCTGAAATCCCAGCACTTGGGAGATGGACAGAGGGGTCCCTAGGGCACTCTGACCAGCTAGACTATCGAGATTGGGCAAGCTCTGGGCTAAGGGAGAGGCTCTATTTAACAAAGGAAGAGTGGTTAAGGAAACCGCCCAGTGACATCCAGTGGCAGCTTCAGGTCTCCACATGAATTCACACACGTGTCATGTGCACTCATGCCCACACATGTGCGCACATATGTGAACACACATATACACACAGACACTCACACCACACACATGCAAAAGTAGATGAAATACATAAATGAAATAATTTTTTTTTTTTTTTGGTTTTTCGAGACAGGGTTTCTCTGTGGCTTTGGAGCCTGTCCTGGAACTAGCTCTGTAGACCAGGCTGGTCTCGAACTCACAGAGATCCACCTGCCTCTGCCTCCCGAGTGCTGGGATTAAAGGCGTGCGCCACCATCACCCGGCTAAATGAAGTAATTTTAAAAAATGATCAAAATAAGACAGTTCACATGCCCAGTGGACCACAGAAACAATGATGGGAATTGGGAAATTTCCAAAAAGGAAGGAGAGGTCTGTGGTAATGCTGAGCCACTCTCATGGGTGCAGTGACTGACACATGACCTCAGCACAGGAAGTGTAGAGTGTGACCCGTGTTCATCCCTTTCTCAACAATGTGCCGTCCTGGGTGTAAGTTGATGACAGATGGGAATTCTCTTCTACTGAGTTGTTCTACAAGGTGGCTCACAGACAGGGCATGCTGACCCAAAAGCGGGGCGATGGGTCACAGAGGGTGTCTGCTTAAAGACCTTGATGGAGAACCCTTTTTTCAAAAGGTTCCTGGGGAATTTCTTTCACTCTAGAACCCACGGGCGTGAGGTACAGGACTATATTTGGGGAATTCTTCTTGGCTTAGCTCCAAGGCCATGCTCTGGAGTTGTTGTCCTCGAGCAGGGCCTGTGCCCTGCGAAACCCTTTATCTGCCCGTTTTCTGAGACTTTCAAGAGAAACTTCTTTGTTCTTGTTGCTCCAACAGTGTCTCTTCATTCACACTGTGCCAATGTCTGGAAGCTTTCTGGGTCATCATAACTCATGGGGTGCTACTGGCATCTTGTGGGTAGAGGCCAGAATTTGAGCTATCACTACAGTTTGTAATACAGCCCCGCAACAAGGAATCGTCTGACCTCAAATGCCAGTGCTGCCTCTGGGGAGATTCCCTGTTCATCCAAGTGTGCAGAGAGTCTAGATGACGTCCTAGGAGTTGAAGAATCCTGCTATAAACACAAGGGTGGTAGAGGGAGAAGTGGCTTTTACCAGTGCTCTACCTCCCTCAAGTTTTGTAGGTGGGAAGTAGGCCAGGGACCTAATATAAGCAATGACATCAGGATGGGGGGGTGTAGCTCAGTGACAGACGCCAATCTGTCATGCCTCAAGGCCATGGGTTCCATCTTTAACATCGTGTGGGGAGATAAAGGAGACAGAAATGACAGGGCAGATGGCCAGTGTCCAGAGTGCTGCAGCCTCTCCGTTATTCTCTGTGTGTGACTGGAGTGGCTGGGAGAAGCTTCCTGGAAGGAACTTACCCCAAACTAACCAATTAGCTGTGGGGGTGGGTCAAAGGCCAGCCCCACACATGTCTGGTGTAGGTGGTCATCCCTAGAACATAGCAGTTGAGTCCGTGGGGGGGGGGTATCCTGACTGACACAACATGTTCTTCCTGTCCCCTTCCGAACTCAGCTCTTAAGGCTATTATGATAGACAGTCCTCCGGGGATCTTGGCAGGATCAATTGATCACCACTGAGGGTTCCCTGAGGTCTACTTTTAATCCTAGACTTACTCACCTTTCATACCCCTATGTATTTCCCACGGCCATATAAGAATATGCAAAACCATTTATCTTTAGCTAACACCAAGCTTGAAAGAGAAGCTGGCTAGTAAAATATCATCACATGGTGTTTGTCTTGCTCGCTCAGATGGTGCCTTTTCTCAGTATAGACACTTTCAGAATCTCCTCTGGGCTCCAAGAATGGAGTTCTTCAAGGATGAATTCCTCAAGGCTATAGAGTCTGTAAGGATATGATGGCCCTGGATAGGACCCTCAAGGATAGGGCCTTCAAGGATGCAGTTATCAAAGATGGAGTCCTCAAAATGGGCCCCTGTAGGATGGAATTCTTTAGGATGGGGTCCTCGAAGATGCAGTCTTCAAGGATAGAGTCCTCAAAGAAGGCATCTCCCAGGATAGAGTCCTCAGGGATGGGATTCTTAGAGTGCACTGGATGCTGCGGACACCAAGATGATGGATTCCTGAAGGATGGCGTCTCTAAGTATTGAGAGCTCAAGGGTGCGGTCCTCCTTCCATGGATGAAGTCTCCTGTGTGCTCCAAGGAAAGTCCCACTCAAGGACAGAAGCCCCAGACCATTGGAATCTGTTCCCTTGCCTCCACCTCTCCCAGCACACAACCTGTCTTAGATCCTAGATTTGCAGTGTTCTGGGCCTGGCTACGCTGACTTTCCTTGCTTGTCTCTTCCTTCCCACACCTCTCCCAAGGAGACCACCCGTTCACTCTCTGCTGGCAAAGTCTAAGAGCTGGGGTTTGAGTCAGACAGCTGTTAGCGAGTTATACAACTCCCGAGCTCCAGTTCCCCGTAGGCAAAGTGGGAAGGGACTGCTGATGACCGACTGGATGGAGAAGATGTAGAAGATGCTGATGACCGACTGGATGGAGAAGATGTAGAAGATGCTGATGACCGACTGGATGTAGAAGATGTAGAAGATGCTTATTACCGACTGGATGGAGAAGATGTCTTTCCACGCTCAGCACACTGCTTGGCATGATGTGGACACTGAAGGGCTCACTGCTGCCATGACCATTAACTGAGCTGCTTTTTCCTCCCAGTTTTTCAACTGAAATGGCTTCATAAAGCTTCCCTCAGCCCAGCCTATAGCCAGCTCTCGTCTTTGCTGCATTGGGTTCCTGAGAACTTGTATTCTGGGCCCCTCATTGCATCCTGAGTGTGCGTTAACACTGTGTCTGTTCTTTTCCTCTAATTCCAGGCTTTAAGCAAATTGAG